CCCTCACATTTGATCATTAATTATTTTCACAGACATTTCTTAAGTACTTAAGAGTATTTCAGGCACTGTTCTAGGGCCTGGGAATTCAACAATGAACAGATAATATCCCTGCCCTCATAAAGTTTATATTCTAGTAAGGAACACAAGCAATAAATAAGTAAAAAGTTAAACATATACTAAAATTATAGGTAGTGTCAAGTGCTATGAAGGAAAATAAAATAGATAAAGGGATAAATGGAGATAGTAGTTGTTTCAGATAGAGTAGGTAGGAAAGGCCCCTCCAGGGAGCCTTATTAAGTGATGAGATCTGATATACCTTTTAAGAAATCTCTGTCTGCTGGTTGTCTAGATAATAAATTGTAGGGCATCAAGAATGAAAGCAGAATACAGGTGAAAGATGATGGTGGCTTAGACTAGAGTGGTAATGGCAGAGACCATGTGAAGTGGTCATATTTGAACTATATTTTGAAGGAGAGTAAAAGGACTTGGTGATGGGCTAAATGTGGGTGTAAGCAAGAGAGAAGATTCAGGAATGAATCCCCAGTTTTTGGTGAGCAAATGGGCGAATGATGATTTGAGGAAAAGAGAAATATCACAGATAGTTCCTAGGATTTGGTTATAGAGTCAATGTAAGTGCCATTTATTGACACGGGGAAAGTTTTGTGGTGGGGTACAGAATTTAGTAGTTCTGATTTGGTCACATTAGGTTTGTCTATGAAACATCCTAGTGTAAATGTTGAGCAGACAGAGATGTAAGATGGGAACTCAGGGGAGATAACTAAGCTGGAAACAAAGTTAGGCATCATTCACATATAGATGGGACTAAATAAACTGTTTTAGGGAAGAAGAGTGGCTGAAGAAGAGAAAAGATTGGAGACTTGAGCCCTGGATAGGTTGGGAAATGAGAGAGGAGCCAGCATAAAAGGCTAGGTAAGAGTGACAAGTGTGCTAAGAGGGAAATGAGGGGGACATACTATGGAAGCAAACTACAGAAAGTGACGCCCTCAAAAAAAAAGTACAGAAAGGCATGATCAGCTTTGTCAAACACTGCTGAGAGGTTCAAGAAGATCAGAACTAAAACTTGATTATTGGATTTGGCAAGGTGAAGATTACTGATAACCTTCACGAGAACCATTTCAGTGAAGTGTTGTGGGTGAAGCCTGATTGGAACAAATGGAGGAGAGAATGGGAAGAGAGTAGTTAGAAATAGCAAGTGGAGAAGATTCATCTGTGAAGTTTTGCTAAAAATGGGAACAGAGATATAGGGTAGTAGCTGGAGGGAGGAATATGGGGTTTATGTCTATGTGATCTGAGAAGAAATTGATGCCGGAAAAAGAATGGGTACTTGCGGGAGGAAAGTCTGTAAGTAAATAAGAAAGGATGGAATCTAGTATATGAATCATCACAAAGCCCTATCACCTTTCCCCAATATAATTTCCAAGCAGATCATCAAGGTACCAAGCTTCCTACTATTAGAAGCATCCCTTTCAGCTAAGACATTTCCAGAAGAACTACATTTAAAGTGTGGTCATTTTATTCAGAGGGGTAGTAAGCCATGTTTTTCTATGGCATTCTTTAAATCCTTATACATTTTTCTTACACAATTGTACTTTGGCATCATGTCTTGGTTTACACTGAGAAAAATTACAACAGAAGAGTTATATAGCACTCCATTTTCTTTTTATTTTAGAAGTGTTATTTAGAAGAATATTGACCATGAAATCACTCCTAAAGTACACTTTACAAAGCCCTATAAAAAATTACCTTAGTCTCAATATTAGGAAAAGTTGTGTCCCTCCTATGCAACTGATTTGTTTTGATTTGTGGATACTAATACTTGATCGTGTTTTCCTCTTTGGCCATTCAGAAGTTCAGAATAAATTGGTGGACATCATAGTTTATCCCAAGAGTTAGGGAAAATTGAAGGTCTGTCTGTCTGTCTCTCTCTCTCCATCTGTTTTAGGAAATTACCAAGCTGCTGCCTTTCCATAGGATTTTTTTGGATCGACTAGAAGAGAATGAAGCCATAGACCAGGACCTGCAGGCTTACATCCTGCACCGGATACACAGCAGTTCAGAGATCCAGAATAACATCTCACTAAATGGCAAAATGGACAATACTACATTTGGCAAACTCAGTTCTCATCTCAAGACCCTCAGTCAAGGGTCCTATCTATACCTGAAACTCACATTTGACCTCATAGAAAAAGGCTATCTAGTGTTAAAGAGCTCTAGCTACAAAGTAGTTCCTGTTTCGCTCTCAGAGGTTTATTTACTCCAGTGCAATATGAAGTTCCCAACCCAGTCTTCCTTTGACCGGGTAATGCCTCTCCTGAATGTGGCAGTGGCCTCTCTGCACCCACTGACTGATGAGCATATCTTCCAGGCCATCAATGCTGGTAGCATTGAAGGCACACTAGAATGGGAGGATTTTCAGCAGAGAATGGAGAACCTATCCATGTTCCTAATCAAACGCAGAGACATGACTCGTATGTTTGTACATCCTTCTTTCCGAGAATGGCTTATCTGGAGAGAAGAAGGAGAGAAAACCAAATTTCTGTGTGATCCCAGGTAAGACAAAGATCTATGATAAGCAATTCTGAACCTATTTTGTATTTATTGTGTGGAGCATGGGTATTGAAATTAGTGAGACGTGTTCTTCATTGAACATTTCACATAGAGGAGACATCTCTGTTTTTTCTCAAGGCAAGGCTATAGTAAGGTTAACTAATTCATTTTCTCACAATGTTATTTAAGATTTAGTTATCTGCATAGATATTTAGAATGCTACCCTCCATTCCTATGTTTTCCTAAATAATTTTCACTGACCCCAGTAGAGATCAAAGGCTATAATTAATTTAGCCATTTAACAGACTGCCTCAGTATTCTTCAAATATGAAAAAAGAATTGATATATTGTTCATCTCTTTTGACTTAGAGCAGAATCATTTAAAAGCCTTGTCATCATTAAAGTCACCAATGGCTAACCCCAGTAAAGTCCAGCCAGTGCTAAGATTGATAGTGGAAAATAGCATCTTAAACCTCATAGCTGAAAAAGATTTAAAGCAATCAGCTAGTCTATCCACTCTGCCTTTAGATAAATAAGGTGGCATTATCACCATTTTTCTATAAAGGCATTAAGATACTGAATCAACTTGCACAAAGTCATGAAGTTAATAGTGGGAGAAGAAAGGGGGGACTAGGATAGGGATGGCGAATACATGGTATAAACCACCAATTCCCCATGCCACACACATGGCAGACATCACTGATTTACCCCCAGCACTCTTTCAATGAGCTTGACCCTGACTTGAGAGTCTTTCTTAACTCGACAAACCAGACTAGATATGAAACTATTTCCCATTCTATTGGATAGAACCTAGTTCTCTGGCATCCTAGTGGGGTATGCTTCCTACTCTTCCACACTAACCTTTTAAAAGAATTATACCTTTAATAAAGTGGATGTTTTCAAATGCCAGGTATATTACTGATTTCCTGGAAACAACACACCAACGACATAGTTGGCAGATGCAGAGCTTATTTTGGCTCAAAAAGAAGATAGGCCAGATTTGACTATGCCTCACACTGTGACTCATCAGAGAAACTAAAACTCTCTGATGGTGCTGGGGTTTTATTACCTGTGTGACCATGTCCTGCACCAAGCCTTATTAGAGACCACTGTGCTTGCAGGCGTGCTGCTCAGCCTGCTTCATGCCAATTCATCAGAAACTTAGTTCCAGATTATGGTGAAGATAATAAACCAAGCAGTAGATTTTGTGGTATTTTCCCTGAGAGGGAAACTTTTTAAACAAACATGGTGTTTGTTTAAACAGCAAAATGGAAGGAGCATAAACTTTTGAGTCAGATTACCTGCATATAAATCCTTCCTCTTCTAGCAACTGTGACCTTTGAAAAAAATTATATAATGTTTCTGAAACTTAGTTTTCTTCTCTACATACGAACAATAATAATGCCTTCTTCCTAGAGTTGGTGAGAATTAAGTGAGATCATATAGAGTACATAGTACAAAGAATGTGTTCAGGGCGTGTTCTTTTTCCTCCCCTCCCTTTGCACTAATAGACTCTTTAGGTATACCTTAACTAAATCCTGTGGCTAATTGGATAGCAGCTGTCCAATTACCTGCTATTAGCAATTTGAGCACCAGATTTAAAAGAGAAACAAAAAAAAATATAGTCTGAGTCTTTTCTATGAATTGTACCACATTCCCGAAAGGATTTTACTATAAATCCTACTAGTATTGCTGCTGATGCTTATATATAAAGTTGTCAATGATATGTTTAAGAAAAAGAGACTAATCTGGAATTGCCTAATAAAACACTTTAAGATCAGTAACCAGAGAAACTTTGCTAGCTGGTCTGGGACCTCAGATCCTGGGACATCTCAGAGGATTGAAAACTAAGGTCCAAGGTAGCCAGACTACCACTGAATTAACAGTATCCCTACAACAGATAAATTCTCAGTGGCCCTCAAAGAAGAAAATATGTCTTTTATACAGCTATATCATGGCTATACAGGCTTACCTTCTTGACATTGTTTATTAACTAGGAGCCCCAAAACAACAGGCTGACTCACTGGGACAAGAAGAACAAACGCTTCTAACTTCAAATGCTGTAGAGTCTGTTCCCTGGTGATTGAATAACACAGCTGCTAAGAAATCGTCATATTTCACTTAATGACAGAGAACAAAATTATAAACAACATGACAGGTTATCAAAAAAGCTTCCTTAGATTTCATTTCAGTTGGAATTCAGCCTTCTCCCCAGCACTGGCTGGCACCAGCCTTGTTACTAAAGTATTGAAGTATTGATCCCAGAGCTTGAGTCTCCCTGGGTCAATGAGATGGAAATTCACTAAGAATTTAATGCTATTGGCAAAGTCCAAGCTGGCCTTTCAAAGAAACTGGCTGCAGTTGCTTTCCATTTCAGGCAAGTCTGATCAGCAAGACTCTCACCAGGCAGGGTTTGTCCTTGTGGCCTTCAGCCTCTACTTCTTGCACACTGTTTCCCCTTCTGTTCTCCACTTTCTCTCCAACTTCTGTCTAGACCTCTGATGTATTTCAGTAGACCAGGGGAGACCAACTCAATGCCTCTGAAATCACACCAGGTAAACCAGCGCCTGACATGTAAAGCTCTGTGGTACAAGGAGAGCTCCCAGAAGCAACACAACATTATTATCTCTTCTAGTCCATTTTTCTGGGCTTTCAACACTCAGTTGTTCACCCTGAACTTGTTGACCTTATTAGGTAATTAGATGATAATATTCTACTGATGCCGAAAAATAGATCTTCTTCAAAAATAGGCCACCCAAGGAGGTAGCTTCTGCCTGAGCTGAAAAGAGTCAGTAATCTGAGGATGGTGCTGGAAAAGGGAAATAGCAGAGCCAGAGGTCAGTGCCACAGATGAGGTTGAGTTTTATTTTAAGTATCAGACTGCCTGTTGTCCCAGAATCTGGGCAGAGAATTGCCATATCAGAGACAATGACCTAATATCGCATAGGCATGTGTTTATCATAGGAAGAAATGAGTTATAATGTCTTTTCTTGGGTTGGTGACAGGGTGGGGTGGGTGTGTGTGTGTGTGTGTGTGTGTGTTCATCAAACTCTAAGCAAAGTATCACTGAAGAATCTTTTATGATACCAAAACATCTAAGATTTTGGATTTGCATTCTAGATAAAAGTATGCCCCTTGAAGCACTCACAGACCTTAGACCACACCAGCCTATTCTACTTTCTATTTTCCACTGTTCATCACCATCATCCTTCATACCCTGCACTTAATCTGTCCTGTGTTTTATTCCTTTGGACACTGAGATATCAGATTAACTCACTAATCCAATAAACTAATCCCTGCTATCATGCTAATAGTAGGGAGATGGAAAACCCATTTGAGGCAACTTGTACATTTTCAATAAAGCATTTGAGAGAAGTAGTCACCAGCCCTTGTTATTATCCAAACTATTAATGACTTTGATAGTTGAAATTTAAGGCTGGTAGACTAGACAATTGGGGGCCACCAGCCCTGTGGTACTGTCCGATTACTGCTTAGTATTTCTACATAGGTTTAAGCTAGCTCTGAATAAATCTCCATTCTTTTCTGCTTCCTTTCCTCATTATCTCGATTTTCATGATACCTAGTTTACCCTTCCATAGGAATAGCTCTCAGATTAACATTTTGATTTATAAGTATATATGTGTAAGATTTTGACATGGAGATTAGAAGATTTAGCTGCCTTATTTTTAAATGTTTGAATAAAACACAGGAACCTGGTCGTGAACTTTATATAATGAGTATTGAGCTGATACAACCTAATATTGTGGCTTCCTAATATGGAAGCCTAATTTTGTTTGACCCGATTTTCTCAAACTAAGAGTAGAAAATCATATGGTGAGTAGAAAGGGGAAAAGGCTATACAAATCCTATCTATACCTATAGGGATAGTTGAGTACTTGTGTCTTTATGATCAGAGTTGATTGCTTATAATAAATGGTTTGTTGAGATTTTTTTCCTAATTTATTTGACTATGTTAATGAATTATACATTGGAAACCTGATGCTCCAAAATCCATGCCACAGAACAAGGTGTCAGGAAAGAAGCAGTTTGTCTAAGGAAAAAGTAGAGAGCATCCTCCCCAAAATGAAAATTAGCTATTCCAGGGGCCTGTACAACCTGACTTCTTGTAGAATACATGGGTCTGAAATGACCACAAAATGATGAGTTACAGTTTGTGGTCATTTTGGTTTTTTAATCCAAACATGAGCCTCCAGGAAGGACGACATTTAACCTTACCCTCACTGAAGCACAAACTCAAAGTCAGTGCTCCTGATAGCCATTGCAGTCTCCCACAACAAACCCTTAAGTTGGAGGATGGGTTCTGCTTTCTAAAGGCATTAGGAGAGAATTCAGCAAAGTGATGACACATAGGAAGAAAAAAGAGGCTCTTGGAACTGAACCAGCCCTTAGGAGGTTTGGAAGAGCAAAGAGAAGGGAAGTGTACCAAACAAACATTTTTACTAACACTTGACTATTAGTGGATGACCTTACCTCCCTGGAAATATTATCTCTTTTCAGGGTCTAGATCTGCTTCACTTGTAATTCTTGTCTATCTACCTCTAAGGAGTCATCAGTCCTCTGATGTCATGATTTAGATGTGTGATTTCCAGGGAGAGAGTTCATTGACTGTAGTATTATTGGGGATTTACCTAACTTGCCAATGAATATTTTTTTCCTTATTATCCAAACCAGTTTCTAACCCTTTATTGGCATCAAGAATAAATTTGAGGCTCAAATATGATATATTACTCTAATGATCCATGGTCATGGTTTTGTGATATGATGTAAAAGAGGAATGAAATTTCCTGTAGTGAAATCTAATGTATATTTTGGAGTATGTCCAGTTTACCAATGCATGAATGTCCTTCAACTTTACAAATTTGTTTTCTCTCAACATAAATCATGGGATCTATACCTATTAGTCAAATAGACAAACTGGTCCCATCTTTAAAACTGTCAGACCATCCAGAAGGTGGGCTGCAACAATATTGTTTTTCTTTTCC